TGTGTGATGGCTTATCTTTGTGTTTTTATGTTTATCTGTTTCTTATGAAAAAAACGGAATACTTAGAGAAATGTATCTTAGGAAGCTTTTGGGTTGAAAAACTTTGAGGGGTGTGGAGCACAAACTCTGATTCCCCCTTGGTTCCCAGAATTGCTTGAGCCAGGGCGCTCAGGTCCCCTGGTTTCAGCTCCAGCTACTCCTCTGGCAGTGAGAGGCTCACGCTGGGAGATGACATTGGGGTGGAGGAGACACTCATTCTGCTGCTGGTGCCTACTTCTGGAGTTAGGGGAGGTGATGCAGGTGCAGGGACATCAGGTACAGACACTGCTCCCACCTCCTTGCTTCCACTGGCAGCAGAAGCTTCATGACTGCTTGGGAAGAGAATGCGTCTATGTTTGGGGGCAACTTGCAGCTGTAGCTCTCCCCCTACCCCCTCTCCCTCCCCTGCCAGAAAACCTGGCACCTGCCTTTCCAGCATGCTTCATAATTAACCTTTCCTGTGCTCCAAAAGGTGTCTGTCTGAATTGTTCACTTCACTTTGCTTTGTGTAGACTGCAGCTTGATTCTTGCTTGTTTGTTCATAAACTATATGGTGTGTGTTTTGTGTTGTTGTTCGGTTGTGTGCTCTCTGTCCTGACTCTAAATGGGTGACTGTCTGACTTCTCCCTTTTCTTCTTCTGGATTGTGTTTCATTACTGTACTCTTCTGTATTGTGTAGTATACAAAAATATCTTCTTCTTTCTGAATCTCTATTTGACTTCTTCTGTGTTCTCTTTAGTCTGTATCTAAACGATTAAAACTAACTATAACTAATAATATTAATAACTAAGGTAATAGCTATATAATCTCTTCTATGAATACCTGAATTTTCTTCTTCTATGTGTCTGTGTATGTGTAATGCGTGCTTTTCTGTACAGCAATGGATCACACTGCCAGGGAAAACACTGAGTTTTCTTTTTTAAAAGTTTGCAAAAAAAAAAGACAACAAATATAAACTGAAAGAAATGAATTGGACAAGTATTAAGCAGAGAGATGCTAAGCTAAGCTAAATCCTATCCATTTCTTTCTAAGAACAAAAAGGAGCAGGCAACTGACTGACTATGAAGCAAGTCAGGCAGTCCAGTACCTTTCTGACGCTGTTGCTCACTCAGAGCCAGCTCACAAAAGGTGCAGCAAGCCTGCAGACAGAGGCTTTTATGCTATTTCTGTCCCTCCCCCAGACACTGTGATTGGAAGGGCAGTCAGAGAGAAATTACACTCACTCAGAATATCAGCCCTTCCCCCTCCCTCTTCTAAGTTTCTGTTTCCCCAGAAGGAATGCCCTCTGAATCGCTGAATCTTTTCCAAATTGATTCAGAGGCTCTGAATTGACTAGCATACATGTCACCACCAAAGTATGTTTCAGACTTGATGTGCTTGGCCTGAGAAGATATAGTACAGGTTACACCCCCAACTTGTCAGGAAGTAGCAAGAATTTGCAGGAACAAAATCAGGAAGGCAAAGGTAAAACTGTGAGCTGTGCCTGGTGAAGGAAGTTCAGGACAATAAGAAAAGGTTCTATAAGCATGAACAGAGAGACCAAGGAAGCTTTGGATCCACTGTTTAAAGTGGAGTCCCACAGGGGTCTGTCTTGGGCCCAGTGCTGGTCAATATGTTTTATTAATGATTTGGATATTGGAATAGAGATGACATGTGGATGACATGAAACTGAGTTGACATGAAACTGAGTTGAACTGTGAACATGAATGACAAGAATGCAATTCAGAAGCATCTTGACAGATTAGAAAGCTGGGCTGGAGCTAACAGGGTGAAGTTCAGTGCTGACAAATGCAGGGTGCTACACATCAGGAAGAATAATAAAAAATATGAGCATGCAGTGTGATGTAACTAAATAAAAAGTAAATGTAGTTATGGGATGCATCAACAGAACTATTAGGTGCAAGACATGGGAGGTGATCATGCCTGTTTACTCAGCACTGGTTAGACTTCATCTAGAGCAGAGCTTTCCAAACTTTTCATGTTGGTGACACACTTTTTAGACATGCATCATTTCGCGACACAGTAATTCAGTTCCGGGGGAGGGGCCAAGGGAAGCAGACGCGAGTAAGGGAGCTCCGTGGTGCCCTTCCGCAAAATTTTCTGCATTTTGCGCGACACACCTACACACTGCTGCCGACACACTAATGTGTCGCGGCACACAGTTTGGAAAGCTCTGATCTAGAGTCTTGCATGCAGTTTTTGGCTCCACATTTTTAAAAGGACGTGGAGAAGAGCTAGAGAGGGTTCAGAAGCAGATCACAAAAGTGATGAAGGGCTTGGAAGGCAAGGCATACCACAAGAGTGAGGTTGAAGAAAATAGTCCTGTTCAGCTTGCAGTATAGATGCTGAAGACAGGACATGATAGCAGTATTCAAATATCTGAAGGTCTGCCATGAAAAGGAAAAACACCTTTACAGTCTTGCCGTGGAAAGAAGGACATGGACCAATGGCCTGAAGTTGTGGCAAAGTAGGTTCAGGTCGGATATCAGGAAAAAACTTCTTCATTGTTAGAATGTAAGACAGTGGAATAGACTGTCTAGGGAAGGTGTTGGACTCTGCATCCTTGGAGGTGTTCAAGAAAAGAGGTTGCACAAACATCAGTCAAAGTTGATCCAGAACTAGCTATGCCAATGCTCTGCTATGGGTATTTTCCATGCTTCTGGGCTTTGCTAATTTCCAAATGGGAATTCCCTGTGCCCCTCCCCCACCTGCCCTTTATGCTGCTACATCTGCCAGGGGAGGTTTTCACTTTTTTCAGAAGCATTGAGTGCACCAGGGCTAGGGATTTTGATTAGAGTGTGCCAGTGCTCCTGCTGGGACTTTAACCCAGAGGTTCCCAGCTAGAGGATTTACTATATGCTGACAGTCAGACCAATCACCATATTTTGAGGTCTGGAAGGAATTTTAACTTTTAATCAGACTGTGGGGGTTTTGGCCTGCCTTTGTAATGGGAATTGTGACTCTCTTCCTTGGATTTCTTGAGCATATTTCAACAAGCTTTGCAGCATGAGGACATTGCCACTCTTGTCCCCTGTGGCATGTTACAGAGTTATGTTTTGTGGTTGTGTCACAGTTGACTGTGTAGTTTTACTAATAGGTTAGACAACAGATTTGTACACGACATGTTAGATAGGTATGATGATGCCTGCAGCAGGAGGTGGGATTAGATGACTCTGGAGGCACCTTCCAGGTCTACTTTTGTATGATTCTATGAGAAGGCTCTCAGCAAGAGTTCTAGTTATGGGGTTGGATTTTTTAAATGTTTTTATGCCAGGAAAAGAACTCAAAGCATGTGAGCATCTTCTTGGTAACTACTGCTGACTCAGGTTAGGTGTTAGGTTGTGACCTCAAAAAGGCGTATATACATTACTTATCCATGGAGCTATCCAGTCTCTTGACTAATCCTTCCTGAACAGCAATTAGCAAGTGTTATCTCATAAGGACTGGTGTAGCTCCCAGCAGTTTTTTTTTGTATAGGCCTTTGTGGATACTTTAAAAAACAAATGCTGTTGGCGAATCATTTGCCTTAAGAGAACAGCTAGATAGACTTCTTTCATAGCTGAAACCACTTTGATTTCTACTGTTATCTTTGAAATAAAATGGATGACCAGATGGAGGGTGTAAGTATAGAACAATTTATTGCTGAATGAATGGGGGTCATAACACTGTTCAGTAGCTGTGTCCCCCTGTCTGCAACAATGCTTTTCCCTAAGGGAGGTTGTGAAGCTTTGATCTGTAAGCTTTGCCAAGCACTTTTTGAATCTCAGATGGGAGTTTTCTTTATAAAGAATATTTGCTGTTTTAACGGTTAGTCAGTTGTATATGACAATAGTTTTGGGGGTTTTTTTGTTTTGCAGTGGAAAACGTATTATTTCTATTTGACATTTCCTGCCATGTTTTCACTGTAAAAAGTATTTAATCTCATTAGAATTAGAAATACCAAAGTATATTCTCCTACATGTTTAGCTTGCACTGTTAGCAACAGAAGTGGCATTGAAAGATTGATTAGAGCTGAAAAATGAAATAAATACTCTGTAGATCCCATTAGATTTTTAAAGTGAGATGACTTCGACCGGTTGTCTTTTTCTTGCATTTGCTTGCTACCAACATTTGAACAATCAAGTTTTTCCAGAAGAAACAGTTGCAGTAAGTAAAATTGAAAGTTAGACTCAGAACTCGTTGCAGAATGTTTGTTCCAGATTGAAGCACTTGTTCATTCATTCCGTTGAGAAACAGAAAGGTATGATCCCTGACCTATACTAGCTCTGCTTTGCAGTGCACATTTTGAATATCTGTGAACAATTCACAGCAAGAACATTCAGAAGGACAGATCATGAATGAACAGGAGAAAATCATGATCAGCTTGAAAAAGCTTTGCAAGCAGTAGAAACGTTAGATAAATATTTTGTAAATCAGTGCTTTCAGAGCAATGTGCCTCTTTCTTGTCTTACTGGCAAAGGTTTGTGTGGGTGGACTTTGCAATTATGATAGGGTAGGTCTGACATCTTTGGTGTAATAGAAATGTAGGGCAAGCAGTTGTTCTGCCAGTTAGATACCCCATAATAACTCAGTTCTTGTAAGTATTCTGTTTATATTTTTTCTCTCTCTTGACTGTAGCATTCCAGCACTGCTTGGTGGTTAGGCTAAGAACAGTGCAAATTTAAATGATATCATGTTGTATTGCCCTTTGCTCCACCTAAAAAATCAACTTCCCATTTACTCCACATCTTCAAATTTCCCTCCTAGGAAGCTAACATGTCTTCTTTATCACATTATCTATTTAGACTTCATAGCAAGTCCTTTCCTAAGACAAGGTGCTATAGAAATGCAAATATCATTGAAAACTATTTTCTTAAAAAATGTGTATGTTTTCTGGTTTACCATACAAGGCGTTTGCAAATTTTTGGTGCCAACTTTACTGTTTATGTAACAAACATTAAGATTGTCTTTCTTGTTCCTCCAGAGCACCTTTAACATTTCATTTGGTCAGCTTTGATATATTGCAAAGAAATGGTACAGGTAAAGAACTGTTGCTAAGGACATCTTTTTATTTTTTGCTGATGACCACTTAATTGCCCTCTGGCTGAGTTGCTTGTTATGCTATTTGATTGGAGGGAAAAAATGGAAAGTGAAGAGGCACTTCAAGTACTCTCCTTTCTTCTTACTGTGTGTGCAAATCTCCGAATAGTGCTAATGAGTTACACTCATGCTTTGAGTGAAGATAGGGTTACTTTATTTCCAGTTTCAAAAAAGAGGACACTTGTGGGAGAGGGAGGGGGGAAGGGGGGTTGTGGGGGGGTGCAGTGATATGCCAGTGCCCTGGCCCTACCCATTTCATTGCCCCTCACTCCCAAGCCATAGCGTGCTCCCAGCTCTTTTACTCCCCCTCACTTCCAACCCTCAGTACCCCACCCCCCTGAGCCATGCTGGTGCCCCGCACTCCCAACTTGCAGCCCCCTAGTGCTGCCGGTGCCCCTTACGCCCAAGTCACAGAACCCCCCCCTTCCTGCTGCTGCCCCTCACTCCTAACCTGTAGCCCCTTGCCCTCCCAGCCCTGCAGCATCTCCATGCTCCATGAACGAATGATGCAGCATCGTTCGTTGAGAACGAATGGGCATCGTTGTCAACAATCACCTCTCAGCTCTGGAACTCCCTCCCTCCTGAGGCCTGCCAGAACCGAAGCCTACACATCTTTCAGAAGTGCTGTAAAACCTTCCTATTTGGGCAGACAAAGGTAGGCTGGGGAGTGAGAAATTTGGGTTTGTATGGGGAGTGAGAAATTTGTGTTTTCTCTTGTTTTATACGTATTTTTTCAGGTTTGTAAATTAGCCTGTTCTCCTGTTGTAGTCTGCCTTGAGTCTTTGTTGGGAAAGGCCACTTACAGGTCAAATTAATATAACTTTGTTTCTTACAGTAGGTGGGATCTGGAGTGGGTGACCCAGGAAGTTCCTTTTCATCCTATGTCTCTGTGACTTCCTCTCTAGCCAGTGTATTCTCCTTTAAGCGATTCAGAGGTATGCCAGTGTTCTAACTCCTCTCTGAAATGGGTTGGAAAGGTGATGATGGGCAAAAAGTGTGCTATAGTGGATCACCTGTTTTGATAGATTAACTATGGTCACAGAGGGATAATTATATTCTAGCCCTTTTGTGAGTCAAAACAGTAAACTCTTGGTATCAATCATGCAGCTAAATGTTTAGTGTTTGGTGCCTTCCATGCTGTACCAGAAACCAAATATGATGGAAATTTCATTGTACAGACTGAAGTAGGAAGAGATGTGTGAGATGATCTGAGGGTGACTGTTAGCTGATCAGAGTTTTAATTAGTTGTCATTTAATAGCCTAAAACATCAGTTCTGGAAGCTATTGATTTAGTCTGAATCATACAATTAAATTTAACAAGCTGCATGGGTTTCAACAGCTACACTGATTACAATTTTCATTAACATAAAGGAGTCATGCGATTCTTTGTAAAGAGGCATTGTATAATACTCAAGTACCAAAGGAACTGCTTTTAAGACTTTTATTAAGCGGAAGCATATCACTGTGTACAGAGAGAATTCTTATCTCATTTTGGAAGCTACAGAAGTTATAATAAGTCTTATCTCTTTTAGATTTCTTTTGAAATTTCTTTCCCTTTTAATCCCATCTGGAGATGTCATCCGACAGCCAAAATTCTATATTTGGTAGACATCAAAGGTGGATCATTCAGCTGGAGAACAACTGTTACGATCAAATGTCAAGCAGATTTTTTTTTTCCTGGAAGACATTATGTACTTCATGCGAGAACCTTGAGCAACAGTTACGTTAGCAAAGTCATAAAGTTCAGCAGAGGAAGATTGCCAGATTGTGTTCCCAACACTGTCAATGACTGTTTTGTGTCTAACCCTCTCTGCCTCAGTTTATCCAACTACAGAAATGGCAATAATGCTACTCATCCAAATTTGTAAGGGCTTTGTTTCAGATTACTGAGCATTCTCCATTTAGCATTAAATAAACGCAATGTTGTATTTATAATTACACTGCTATTTACAAGTGGAGTTTTTTGTCACTTGCTTTGTTATCTTTCCTTACTTTGATGAAAACAGAAGTAGCTTTGTAAGGTACCAGGAGCAAAGAATCACAACAGTTGTTCAGTCTGCAAGGCCCTGTGTATAACGGGCATGCCAAACCTAAGCTGTTGAAAGTCCTTTCTCTCCAGTCATCCCTAATTTATATGGCAAGTCATCCCCAACTTATGTGGCGGTGCTATGCTTTGATTGCTGTATGGGTAAAGGGGCAACTGATGGAGAACTCTGGTAACTGATGGGGAAATCATCTAGTAGCCATCAGTTTTAACAGGCTAATTTTAAAGAGGCATGTTACAGAATACAGCTAAAGATATGTCTACAATGGTTCAAAGCCATGCTGTGCAGAGATACCTCAAGATAGCTCTGCAGCTGGGTACAACATGGCCATGTGGCACTGAGCTTGAGCGGATAAATGTTGTTTCTCAGCAGAACTAAATAACCAGGGTATATAGTACAGTGCTAATTCAGTTTTCCTGCTTCCTGTTATGGAGCCAGACTTTGCAAAGTTACCTTGGATATGTCTTCATGGCAATGCCTGGAACTATATAAACTTGCCCTAAGAACACCTTCATATCACAGAGCATCCTGGTGAGAAACCAAAACAAAATGAATGTTTATTTGGACCAGGAATGAAGAAAATTGTTTTAAAAATAATTCAGCCATATCTTCTAGAACTCATTAGAAGCCACATCCTCTCCCTTAGGAGATTTCCACAGCAGCTGGCTCCACAGTACTATCTAAGTCCTAAGATGAAGGATCCCAGGCATCATGAGATACTGCTGAAACATTGCATAGGGAAAACCATTAGAGTAGAGGCATCCTGGAGCTTCTAGGAAGTCCTGGTAGTGGGAGGGCTGAACTCAGTTCTATCCTCCCACTTCCTTCAAGCCATTTGAGAGGATGAAATCAGCAAGCTGGCTTTGACTTGCCACACCAAAGGTAGATCAGCCAACGTAGAAAGCCACTTTTGAAAAATAAAGTCATGCATTTTAATGCAATTAATACATGATTGTGGGGACAGTTTCATGACTTTTTAGGCATTGACTCATGATTTTTTTTTTTTTAACCTCTGGGGTTGCCTCCACTGAGATAGAAGGGAGCCCCAGGACTTTTAGAAATGGTGCCAATCTGGTCTTAACTTATTTGGTTTGGCACTCTGGTTTTCACACGTGTGAAATAATGCTTATTTCTACATCTAATGGTTTGAATTAGAATTCTAGGGTGTCTGTAGATATGCCAGGAGGCTGATCTGATGCTCTGTAATTATAGTGCGTTGGAGCAGACTTTATGAATCGATCTGCTGGAGCATGCTAATTAGCATGTTCCATCCAGCCTCCATGTCTCATGTATCAGCTTTCCCATTCAAAATGGTGACAGGGGCGCTATAGCTAGTTAAAGCACTCCCACTGCCATTTTGAAGTGTGGGGACACTGATACACAAGATGCTGTGGTGCTTTAATTAGAGCAGCTCTGAGAGCCACTCTGAAGTGCCCCTGCCCTCCACTCCTTCAGCACGTGTAATAATGCCCGTAATGTTTTGTCAATGGAAGCCATAGAATAGTGAAATTGTAGTAAATTTTTTAAAACTCAAGTGTTAGGCAAAGTGTAGAGCTCTGTTGAAAGCCTAAAATTGCAGCTATTTGCTCTCTTGGCATCAATTCAATTTTAATAAAAAGCATTGTTCATTGAAGCTGTAGTATTCAAAGGAAGGCAAGGACAAAAGGGTACATCTACTGTGAGTTGTATCTGCAAGCAAACTTCATTTATCTGAACAATATATATGCTGCTCTGTGTGACTTCAGTAAACTGATACACTACAGATTTTAAAAGGCTATATTTAATGCCTGTGCAGTGGTGTCAAACATCCCTCATCTAGAGCTATTTTTTTCATTTCTTATCTCAGTTATGCTTTGCCTGTGGTTGGATATCTGTATACGACCACTGGTTCTTAACAAAATCTGTTTGATCAGCATGGATCTGATGTTGTAAAGTTTCATTTGTTTTCACGGAATCACTTTGCTGTCACCTCCCACCCCTATTTTTAGCAAAACTGTTCACCAAGGAGATAAAGCTAATCAGCCAGCAGATTGAATGCAGAATTGCTTTAAGCAGAATCTCAATTATAAGATGGTAGCATGATTCTGGATATGCCTCCTCTTTTTCAGGATGAAATCTGCTGCATAGCTGGCAAACAGAATTAAAAAAGAATACCAGAAATAAAGGAAGTCCAAATAAATACCTGTTCTTGGTCAGATGGAAAATCCCTGTCTTTCCAGGTGGCCAAAGTGCTGTCAGTCTGTAGGATGCATGTAGTCCTTCCAGACTTCTAATGCAGATCAGGTACTTTCACATTGTTCTTAAAGACTTGCTTGCTAGTCCTCTTTCCTGACTGTCTCATTTGACTGGTGTTCCAGTTAGCTTAGCTGAAGTGGCTTAATTGAACTCTGCAGCTTCTGTCAGTTATACACAATGCTTCCTCTTTCACTGCAAGGCTAGGTACAGATAAAAAAGTGCAAGGTGGAATCGACCAAAGTTACATGGTTTTCTGTAAGCAGCATAGTTTAGATCAGTAGTGACCAGAACACACATTTGCCCTGTGATTGGCGGGGGGAGGGGAGCGGGGAATGGTGCAAATCTTAGACCAGGTTCTGCTATTTTTAACTCGGTCAATCTGCTGAACTTCTGTTCTGTCATTGGTATAGACCAGTTTCCACTGGTAAAAGTGTAATGTCTGTACCAGGCCCAAGTGATGATGCTGCCATTAGCTGATCTCAGGATGGCTCAGTAATACTTTAGATTAAGAGCAGCTAGATGGACAATGGACACTTTTGGAAGAAAACAGCAATATAGTGTAGAGGGAGGAGGGGGAAAAAAAGCAAAAATTGAACATAGACACATGTGCCTACACATGGAGAGAAACTGTGATTAAGATTTTCAAAGCAATCTAGAGAATCCAGGGACAAATCTTTCACTTCAATTCATATGTGTAAGGTTTTTTTTAATGCAAGTACCAACTGCAGCTCCATGGTTAAAGATAAATTAAATTTTGCTCTTAGATTCAACTCTTTGTTATCTAGGAAAGTATGGCATATTCCTTTCACTGCCCCATAGTCAAAACTCTGCCCTTGCTATCTTTGAGTACCTACATGGCACATGAGTTTTCTGAGTATTCACAGGTAAATCTGTTCATTAGTGTGAGTTAAAATGAGTTAAAAACAGATTCTTGAAAAATGTTAGCATCTATTACCCTGAATGATCTTAATAACGGAATATCATGGAGTTTTTAAACTTTCCAAATAATTACAACTCAGAGAATTCTCTCTCAAACCTACATTTATTTATAGAACATTTTTTAATTACTGGTCATTTTTTGTATTATTATTCATAACTGAAGTTTTGTGCCAGTCTCATGAAAGAATAATCTTCTCTTTCAAGGAAGTCTTTGTTTCACATTTTCATTTCTCTTTCAGGTTTTCTTTTCTTTGGCTTTTTGTTTCTTTGGCTTTAGTCTTTGCAAGATTTTTTTTTCTTTATCTTGTGGAAAAGTTATTCGTAGTACATTTTACTTGTTTGAATTCAGCTGAAGTACTGACAGGAAGAAATACAGGAATTTCCCCTCCCCTGATCTCCTTTCTGAGAATTGGCTAACCTATTATATGTGGTGCTAAAAAAGCTTGCTTTGTAATATGCAGTGGTCTGTGGGCCCAAACACTGTGTACTTTGGATCTATGCTGCTCCAGTAAAAATTTACATTCATATAGCAGATTTAAGAAACTAAAAGACTTTAACAGAGATGCTGTCAATGATACTATGTGTGCTTCTGTTATGCATATAAATAGGTGATCTCTTGCCACCAAAACGCAAGGTAATACCCTGGGGTGAAGTGCATTAGCTGTTTTGCAGCACAAGTGAGAAGCAAAGAA